CCGCTCATCCCCGGCGTGCCGGAGGCCGGGGCGCCGCTGCTCTCCGCTGTCTGGCGTGCCCCGGCCGAATTAACAGTGTCCCCTGCGTCTCCCGCCGGCGTCCGGGCTGTAATGAATAAACCCTCTTAGCCGTAACTGAGTTAGCCGGCGCCGGCTCCTGTACAGCTCTCTGGTCGCAGTGTCCCATTAATTCGACTACTACTGGCGGCGGCGTCGCGCTCGCGCGGGCGGCCTGCTCGCCGCACGTGCGGCGCGCGGTGGCGCACGCCAGTGTGCGGGTCCGCCGCAGCACTAACCGTCCGGCCCGGCCCGGCCCGCCCGCTGCCGACCGTCTGCCTGTAGCCGCTCGCTCTGGCCGCACAACGCCACTATGCGGGACCCCTCGACGATCCGGGCCGCGGCCTGAGCGCCCTCCACCCGGAGCACGCGCAGTTCATCAGGTGCAGTACCGCCGCGCGCCCGCCGGCCCTGGCCCGGTCTCCTCGGCCGCTGCGGCAGCCGGCCGTGGACACGGTGGGGTCTCGGGTGTGGCATGCCTGGGCGCGGGCGACGCTACGGTGCGGGTGGTTTGAGCATTGACAACATTGATCCCCGATGTATTTGGTGCGCCCTCATCGGATTACCAGTGTGGACAATAGGACAACAGCCTGGCCTGGCCTCCGCAAACGTAATGCAGTATTTTGGTTCGGCTTAGAGCATTAACATTGCTGTAGATACTGGTAAGCACCGTCGTGGCGTGCGTCGCGAAAGCTATGCTGATGAGTCCGGAGGTAGACGGTAGTCCGGAGTCCGGGGGAAGGAGACGGTAACTTCAGGCTGTACTCGTATAAGCAAAAAACAGACCTCCGAGGAAGAGAAGCTTGGGATCATTGTGTCAGTCCCGGGCCGCCCTGTTAACTGGTGCTGTAGCACAAGACGGTCCTGAGCGCTTGTGATCGAGGCGGTGGCCGCTAGCGGGGCCCGTTAGCTCGCGCCACGAGCCCACGTCCTGCTCCGCGGCCTGTGGAGTGGCGCTTCGGAATGGCGCCGCGTCGCATCATTTGCTGATCAGACACCAGCTCTGCCTGCGACAGACCTGCTTCGTGCGAGCGCGCTTTCACCATAAGGAACGCTGTCCGTCGGCGGCCGCCACGGCGGCCGGGTCCCGCCTGGAATCTGCGGTGCCTGACGAGTGGTCCCCCGGTGAACAAGCGGCAAACCGTCAGGCGGACAGTCCCGGGACACAGGGATAGACTGTGTCCCGCCTATCTGGTGGACGTGGCAGACCAGCCGCTGGTGTGCTGTTCGGACGCGTGTGGTCCAGCGGACGGGCTCAGCTCCGCGCCTCTGACCGGCGTGTCAGCACTGCCGGACGGGCTCAGCTCCGCGCCTCTGACCGGCGTGTCAGCACCGCTGGACGGGCTCAGCTCCGCTCCCCTGACCGGCGTGTCAGCACTGCCGGACGGGCTCAGCTCCGCGCCTCTGACCGGCGTGTCAGCACCGCTGGACGGGCTCAGCTCCGCTCCCCTGACCGGCGTGTCAGCACTGCCGGACGGGCTCAGCTCCGCGCCTCTGACCAACGTGTCAGCACTGCCGGACGGGCTCAGCTCCGCTCCTCTGACCGGCGTGCCAGCTCCGCGCCTCTGACCGGCGTGTCAGCACCGCTGGACGGGCTCAGCTCCGCGCCTCTGACCGACGTGTCAGCACCGCTGGACGGGGTCAGCTCCGCCCTCTGACCGGCGTATCAGCACCGCTGGACGGGCTCCGCTCCGCGCCTCTGACCGACGTGTCAGCACTGCTGCTCCGTGCAGCGTCCCGGCGGCCGTCTGAACCCTTCTTCGAAGCGCCCGGCCCCGGCCCGGCTGCAGCCGGTCTGCAGCGAAGCCTCATGTGCCCGGTCATCCCAGGACTCCGCGAGCTGGGCGTCGGTCCGGTCGGCCGCGCCAGGACGCGGCGCCGCCAGAAATGGATTCGGCCGTCTCCGAGCTGGGGCGTGGCTGACGTTTGTGACAATCGGCGGACTTTCAAACTGATTGCGTTGCGGCGTACTGGCTATCAGACGCGCCGAATTTGTCGTGCATGTTGACTCCAGGACAAGACGAGCGCAATGTGGCCAACCTCGGTCCAGCGGTCCGGGACAGTTCGGATGATCTCCGATCGGTTGAGATCGGCAGCGGACAGCCTCTGCCAGGCGAGCAGCTCCCGTCCCGGACTCCAGCCCAGTCGCCGGGCCGTTCTGGTGTCCCGGAAGCGTTCGCGCCGCCCCGTCTGGGCGGCGCGCGAGCCGGCGGTGGCCAGACGGCCGTCCGGGGGCTATCGACCGCCTGCAGGGGGCGCCGGCGCCGCGGCCAGGTCCCGTGTCAGGCGGCGCGCGGACGGCGGACGGCCGGATCGACCGCCCCTCGCCCGGCCCGGCCCGGCCCAGCCCGGCCTGGACAGTCGGGCCCCGCCGCGCCACTGTCATGGAGGCGGGGGGCTGGTCCGCCCGCCGTCGCACGCGATCCGTCGAGGTGTCCAGTCCGGACCGGTATCCCCGCAGGTAAGTGAGGTCTCTGCGAGCCCCCGGCAGGAGGGGACCCTTTGGAGGTGGCCATCCCGGACCGGTACCCCGCAGGTGGATGAGGTCACTTCAAGTCGTCGTCAGGCAGGGACCCTCTGGAGGTGCCCAGTACCGGGCCAGAGCCCCCGCAAGTGGGTGAGGTCCCGCCTAGTCCTTGGCAGGCAGGGACCCTCTAGGGGTGCCCAGCACCGGCCAGAGCCTCCGGAGGTGGTTGAGGTCCCTTAGAGTCCTTGGCAGGCAGGGACCCTCCGGAGGTGTCCAGTACCGGTCAGAGCCCCCGGGGGTGGTTGAGGTTCCTCCCAAGTCTTCAGGGAGGGCAGGTGCCCTCTGGGGTGTTCAGTACCGGTCAGGACCCCCCCGGGTGGGTGTGTCGTTGCCAGCCCACGGCCGGCGTTGTGTCTCCCTCTGGAGGTGTCTAGGCCGGGCCAGTACCTATGCGAGGGTGGGTGTTCCCTGCGTCTCTGGCGTCGGGTACCCTCTGTGAAGTTGTGCGGCCCTGAACGACACTGATGAGATGGGTGACTGTCCGACGGCCACTCCGTCAAGAACAGATGCCCATTCCCACGCGCCGCTCTGGACGTCGGCTGTGGTGAGTGGGTGGCCCGAAATGGCACATGGTCGATAGACGCTGAACTGAACGACCGCCGGGGCTGGCTCGCCTCAAACACCCGTGGCTGATTACCGGGTGACGTTTGCCGTCCCTGGGCCTCAGCAGCACCCCGTGCCCCGGAGCGGTGGTGTGGCGGGGGATGTTATGTGCAGCCCGGGCTCGGAGTGTCAAGCCAGAGCCACGACTGCTCGGCTGGCCAGCGGTCACGGAGCCTCCCGGCCTACCACTGGGGACTAGCGCCCCGCATGTGTGCTGTCTTGAAGGGTTTGCTGGGCGGAAAGGTCAGAGAGCCGACTCCAAACTTTCTGGGCGGCGCCTTTCCCCCGAGCAGGGCAGACAAGTGTTCCTTTCCGAGGGGGTCGATACAGAACGGTCGGCGGGGTTGACGTCGTTTTGGTGGTGCGGTCGCTCTGGGGCTGGGGGGTCCAGTCTCCCTGGCGGCGGCGGCTTGTCTATCCGGGTGTCCAGAGTGTGCGATCCCTGCCACTCGCCACCCGGCCCTCTCGGGCGCCGACCTTGCTGTACAGCCGGGGGGCGTGCCTGTGCTATGGCTTTGGGCGTCTGGTCGACCGGTGACGGGCGGGATGCGACCCCCCCACCTGTGTGCCTACTCCGTCGCGAAACGCGTCGGCGCTTTGGCTCTGGGCTACTGCTTGCTTGCGAAAGGGCAGGCACTACACCCCCTCGATTGTCATCAATGGCGCGCTTCCAGTGCCTTGGGCTTGCGACCGTAGCGCTCATCGCACGCTGGACTTCGGTTTTGTGTAAATGCTGGGCCGTTTATGACTCGCGCTGTCGAGAACGGACGATGCCTTTTCAGGATGGTTGGCAGGCAGATGTTGTCAATAACCAAAATCGTCATACACCAGTCCACC